AAATAAATCACAAGCTTCTAAGAATTTATTCTCAATGTCTCTATAAGTCAAGGTCTAAATAAAATATAAAGGAAGCAACATAATATGATAGAAGGGGACTCCGGAGTCTGCGGACGCTGGCAGATATACCTCGAAGTCTCCGTGCACAGGTAACTCACTGACGTCTAGGCTGGTAAAATATACTTGGATCTGCACAAAAAGATATGCAGAAGCATAGTATGAGTACACCACAGCGGTACCCAGTAAGTGCCAAGCCTAATCTCGGTAGAGTAGTGACGAGGTCAGGTGAGGCCCTACTGGATTAAAATAATGACATGGTAAAATATTTATCAATGTAGTAAAATAAAATGACATTGGAAATGAATCAAATAGTATGTCACATTTAATGACACCAAATAATTGTAAATAATATCTCGTGGAATCAAAACAGAATTTTCTTCAACTTTATGAAAATCACAACAATTAATCGAAAGCAACTATGGCCATAAATCAATATCAATAAGGGCACTACCGAGGTACCTCCTCATAGTCCCAAATTATAAATAATTTCACAATATATCAATTCCTTATACCACCGCGGGAGCCTTCACAATTTATTTAAAGAAAGTATTTTTTTTCCGAAATAGCATCCCGCATTTTAGCCACCCTTATCACACCGCATGACTTCTAGTAGTCACCCCTACTAGCCACGCGTATCAAGCCACCCTTATCTCACCGCATGTGTTTCAACACCCAGACCTTATACCACCGCATGCGTATCAATATCACAATATATCATAATTTGCACCTCAAGTGCCCAATATTTTAATTTTCCACAAAAACATCAACAGCAATATTTTTCAATAATAAAGAGCTCACGGCTCATGCCAGAATAATCCAAAAAAGATCTTACGAAAATATTCAAGAATAAATAATTCAGAAAAATAATATTTCAAATTTTTAATACGTTGCTTCAATATCAAACTTAAAAATATCAAATACTTCATATTAATAATATTTAATTTAAAGAAAATCAACCTTCAATAATGCACAGTATAAAAGAAACCAAGTTTCAATTAAACAGGTAAAACAATTAGCAGGGAAAAAGGTAAACAAATTAAAAATATATATCACAGATCGATGATGAAGAATATAGAAAGATAAAAGAATTTAATAACTGTGCAACAACGATCTACACAATTTAAAAATATAATCTTTCATATTTAGCCCATGTACACACTCGTCACCTCGTGTACACGACTTTCAATACATTTCAATAATGACATTAATATCAATGTAGGGAAAATTTTCCCCACACAAGGTTAGACAAGTCACTTACCTCGACTTGCTCCAATTTAATCAAGTATTATGCTTTTTTCTTGATTTTCCGGCTCCGATCGACTTGTATCTAGTCATAATTAATTCGATACAGTCAATAAAAATTATAGAATTAATTCTATACGAAAATACTACATTTTTCAATAAAAATTCAAAATTAACTCAAAAATGGCCCGTGGGGGCCATGTCTCGAAATCCGGCGAAAGTTACGAAATATGAACGCCCATTCAACCACGAGTCTAACCACACTAAAATGACTAAATTTCAATAATGATTCGACCCTCAAATTCACAAATCTAACCAAGAAGGTTTTCAAATTTTTCCAACTTAAATAACCAATTAAATGTTAAAAACAGTGATAGATTCGGGTAATCTAACCAAGATTGAGTTATGAACACTTACCCCAATATTTTTCCTTGAAGATATATTAAAAATTGCCTCTGCTCAAGCTCCAAGTTGTTAAAAATGGCGAATGGGACAAAACTCCCCTGTTTTTAAAACTTACAGATCTGTCCAGGCTGACCTCGATCGTGGAGTCCGATCCTGGACCTCGATCATGAGAGTCCGATCCTGGACCTCGATCATGAGAGTCCGATCCTGGACCTCGATCATAGGAGTCCGATCATGGGGAGTCCGATTAAGAGGAGTCCTATCATGGGGTCCGATCATGGTCCTCGATAATGGACCTCGGTCATGGCCTTCGATCATAGCTTCGATCATGGTCCTCGACCCTGGAGCTCGATCACAACCATCAATCCTGGCTATCGATCATGGCTTCGATCTTTATGGCCTTCGATCACTGGCCTTGGTCATAGCCCTTGATCCTGGGCCTTCGATCACTGCCCTTCGAGCTTGCCTTCGATCCTCGGCTCAATTTCTGGGCGCTCGATTGCACAGCAGAAGAGAATTTGCAGCAGCTTTTTCAGCAGCTGTTTAAGTCGTATTTTTGATCCGTTAACCATCCGAAACTCACCCGAGGCCCTCGGGACCTCAACCGAATATACCAACAAAATCCTAAAGCATCATACGAACTTATTTGAAACCTCAAATCACATCAAACAATGCTAAAATTACGAATCACATATAGATTCAAGCCTAATGAACTTTGAAACTTTTAATTTCTACAAACAACACCGGAACCTATCAAATCAAGTCCGATTGACCTCAGATTTTGCACGCAAGTTATAAATGTCATAACGGAGCTATGAAAATTTTCAGAATTGGATTTCGACCCCGATATCAAAAAGTCAACCCCTCGGTCAAACTTCCCAAAAATTCAACTTTCGGCATTTCAAACCTAATTCCACTACGGACTTCCAAATAAAATTTCGATCACGCTCCTAAGTCCAAAATCACCATACGGAGCTGTTGGAATCATCAAAATTCTATTCCGGGGTCATTTGCACATAATTTGACATCCGATCACAATTTGAACTTAAACTTTAAAGTTTTCATCAAAATTCTATATCTCAGACTATGGACCTCAGAATTTGATTCCGGGCATACGCCCAAGTCCCAATTTACGATACGGACCTACCAGAACTATCAAAATACTGATCCAAATCCGTTTACTTAAAATATTGACCAAAGTCAGCTCAGTTGTGTTTTAAACATCTAATTTACATTTTAATCCATTTTTCACCTGAAAACTTTCCGAAAATTTTTTACTGACTGCACACGCAAGTCGAGTAATGGTAAATAGTACTTAGATCACATAATTAATCATTAAATTTAAAAATGATATTTTGGGACATCACAGTAAAAGTCCTATAAATCTAAGAAAAAAGAAAGAAAAAATCAAGTTGATATATGATTGCCGATTTATTGATTGGTTGAGGAGTAGGTTATAATATTTGACATAAAAAGAAAAACTAAACTAAGAAGGGTGCGTGATATCTCGAATCATAAGGAGATAACACTTGATATAAGTATCTATAAATGCTGATATGATTTTTGTTCTTTTTGCTTTGTCAACGTATCTGAATGAGAAGGTTACGTTTGAGATCTCTAATATTTTATTTTATTAAATGATATAGCATACATCAACTACTCGAAAATATCCAGAAAATATATTAACATAAGTTACTCATAAGAATAAGATTTTAACTCCTCTAAAAGAGGAAGAATAATTAAGAACCCAGATATCAAAAATAAATATAGTATGAAAGATTTAATTTTTCCAAAATATAAGAATAATATTTATTAATTTAAGGATGGAATGGTAAGAAGAGTCAATCTGATAAAGTGAAAGGAAATCAACGCAAAAAATAAAATTAAATAATGAATATTTTGGAATCATTCTGATTCTTTGGCACGAAGTAACAAAACACAACAATTTGGCAGAACTAAAATGACCTTGCTACCATCTTTTTTATTCTTTTCTACATGATTATGAATTCAATCTTAAAGTATCATTCAACTTCTCCAATCCCAGTTGATTTTGTACGCTGACAATGATTAAAAGTTATATAAAAAAATAAATACTACAAAATTAAAAAATGAATAAGCGTGGTGTACCATATTTTTCGGTATTACTAGGCGACGAATTAATTCTACAATTCCAATTTAATTTCTTTTGATTTTCGCGTGCACTCATAAAGATTAATTGTATCTAAAATAAAAGGAGTACCAAAATAAACAATAAAAGACAAGCTAAATATTACATTCATTCCCATCCAACCTTTTTTTCCTGGTTTATTTTGTTGTCCTTTTATTCGTTATGATTTTCTTCCTCTTATCTTTGCAGTTGCAGAATATAATATTATACGATAGTATCAACATCATGATCTTATAAGTTATTAAAAATTGATATTAGCCAATGATGTAATATAAACGTAATCAGCATCAAGTGTCAACGTTAATTACATAGTACTACGGAGTATAATTTTATTATAGAGTTAGAACCACCAGACATATGCGTTATAGCCTATAGTTAACTCAAGGAAGGTATCTATAATTGACATTTAAAAGAGTAAGATTTTGCAGATTCAATTTAAATGTTCGATATCAAATATTGAATAGGTGATTTTTGTTAGCCATAATTGTCATAAATATGTAAGAAATTAGGGAGAAAATCACATATATGTTAATTTATGGACAGAATGATTGTAAGAATCAATCGAATAAAAGTAAAGCAATGCAAACATAAAATTACGGGAATATGAAATGCCCGATGATTCCTATATAAAGTGTGTTATTCTTGTAGGACCATTCACTATCCCTGTCCATAAAAAAGAATCAGGTACTTCATCTCTTATTTCTTAAACTTCATCCTTGATATGATGGATTATCATGTGCCATTTGCACAGAAGTCATAATTTTTCATTCCTCTTATTAGCTTTTATGTTTAATTTTAAGTTATTATTTGTATCTAATAATTTATTTTAAAATTATTATAGGATGAAGATCACAAGAATGCATCTAAGCGTTGTACAACTTTTGATTGCAATTATGGTTTTTCTCAACCATGATGAAGTTGAGGGCTTTTTAAAGAAGGACCATGAAGAATTGGAGAGGCAACTAAAGCTTTTAAATAAGCCATCAGTCAAAACTATTAAAGTAGATTCTTATTCTTTGTTTTGGTCCATTCTCGAAATAATTGATCTATCTGTTTTATTTTCAATTATATATGTCATTTTTCATGGAGCTAAAAAAGATGTTACCCATAAATATTTATACTTAAAATCAGTAATAAGTTCTATTGTTTTGTAGACCGAATATGGAGATATTTATGACTCTGTGAATTTCTATCTATAACCTGCATTTGATCATCCTTTACCGAAGAATCATACTTATCATCCTCAGGTATGTCTATTTGGTAAATAGATCCTTATTCACTGTTACTGTTGTACTTGTATTGTGAAAGTAAGAATGACAAAGAATCCGCAACATCCAATAGATCCTGCAAAATCAGGCTGAGACATGGAAGTTGTCCAATGAGAACAGTTCCTATTAGAAGAACTACCAAAGAAGATCTCATTAGAGAAAGAAGATTTAATGCTAGTTATGCTGGGGGCATCTTTCACGTAAGCTGCTCCTTTGTAAATTGTTTTTGTTTATTCTAGTTTACAAAGATTTGTAATTGAAATAATTATATACAACAACAAATTAAACATGTTCCAAGTGGTAACTTCACTATTGTCATCACTTATCATTTTTACTGGAGCTCTTTCTATGATTTTGGATTTGTGGTACATATGGACGTTAATCTCAATGCGACTTGCCTTTATATTTGTTTCTATACCTCGTTAAGAACTTGCAATTTTTTTCAAGAAAGGGATATTTTTATTATTAACCAATGTGAGCATATCTTGTTACTTATTCTGCTTTGAACATTTAGTTTGCTCTAGGACAAACACTAAATGACCTGGATTCCGAAATTTTGGGAGCTGGAACAACAAGTAGTATTTATAATCCAAAGGTTCTTTCGAACCAGTGTAGTGCATCCGTCGTGAAGGTACAAAATGGCCGTGACCAAATACAAGTTGGGTGGCGTGTAAGTATTACTGTTAATTAACTTTGCTAAGTAAAATTCAATCCCCTTTTCTTGCTTTAATTCTATAGATAGGAGCATCAAAAGTTGACAATGAATGGTGTATTGATCTAGGTGGATCCAATTCTTTATGGTGATACTCGTACTCGATTTTTTTCATTATTTAAAGTAAGTCTTTTTTTTTGGTTTATTCACATATTAGTGAGTCATGCTTTAACAAAATATCCTTAATTACTCACGATTAGTTAAATTTGTTACATCATGACACAGGCATGCACAACTCAATTCTTCAACACACGTTGCCCTAGATTCGTAATTGTGAATACGCAAATACCTTTGGACACGGTATATCTGACTTCTACACCTGGACACATATTCGATCAGACATTCTTCATTCAAAGGGTTAGATAAATGCCATACTGAAATTTCATCATATTCGAAAAGAAATTAAGAGCATATATAATTATTTTTCACTATAACGTACAATGTATGAACATACATAATCTTTTGTGTGTGTGTGTGTGTCTATATATATATATCCAACGCAGGATCTGAAGAATGGAAGATGGTGGCTGCGTGTTGGTCGTGATTTCAAACAAATATGTTTTTGGCCTCCAGAGCTTTTCACGGGATTAAAGGGTTTTGCATCACAGGCGGCATGGGTTGGAGAGGCATTTAGTTCAGTCCCTACTTTCCCTCCAATGGGTTCTGGTCATTTTCCTGGACTTGTAAATACCAATAAAGATGCATATTGTATCCGAGTTTGAAGATGCTCATGCACTCTACCGGGTTCTTGATGAACCAATTACCAATAAGGCTTTTAGACATACGGTCTTTTTTGGGACCTAGTTCTAACAAATAAATTAATGACAATGTACTATGTTTTTCTAGTTAAGCCTAGTATTAGAAAATGATTTCCACTTAACCTACCCTTGTTTGCATCATGTCTCAGTTATAAATAAATGAAAAAAGTAATTGTTGGTCGTACTTGTAGTAGTGTTTATTTTTATCTTTATTCATTATGTATCTTACGATGTCATACTTATAGCTGTCCAATGGAACAAGACGGGACAAAATTAACGATACGGGACGGGACGACATTTAGTCGGAACGATGGCGGGACAGGACGGGACGGGACGGGACGAAACGAGACGGGACAAACGGAACGAAACGGTAAGCCCATTCCGTCCCGCTAAAAAACGTGATGGGACGGGACGGTACGGGACGGACGGTAGGCCCATCCCGTCCCGCTAACAAACGGGATGGGACGGGACGGGACGGGTTCGCGGGCCTTAAGTGTCGTTTTAAAAAAAAAATTATTTAAGCATTGAGTTTGGCAACGGCTATTCTTTTGACAATGACTAAGTTTTTAAAGTTTGCAACAACTAGTTTTTTGACTTATTTAATAAACTTAAAAATTAAATAAAAATTAGGAAACTAAGTAAAGAATTATAAAATATTAAAACAAAAGACTTGTCATGAATTATTCTAGTAATTATAAATTTATAATAGAGTTATAATTTATTTAATAAAATTTCAAGCCATTAAGTAACTAAGTAAGAGTGTAAGACAATTCATTAAAATAATTCAACCCTTAGAGACAAAAGTATTGCCACGCTCCCTCCACTATGCCAAAAGTTGTTCGTTGCCTTCTTCGTCTTTAATACTTTCCAATCCTTGATTAAGATAAGAATTAAGTTAATCATCAATAGAGGAATCAAAACCTGTTATATCATCCATATCTTCCCATAGAACTTCTACTCTAGACTTAGAAGTAGAAGGAGCAGTTTCACCACCTATTGTTTCCATATATTTATATTTATCAAACATTGATCTAATATAAGAGTATATGTTAGCTTGGCAGTATTCAAGAGATAGTTGTTCATTTTCTTGAATTGCTAAATTCTCATAAATTTTACGAACAAATCCCTTTGCACCTCTTAATTTTAAAGATGGGTTAAGTATAGTAGAAATTAAATAAATTGGGGGAATAGAGAAAAAATACTTTTTAAATTTTACAATCATTTCATTAATGACTGGTGCATTAGTTGGATTTATTTTATACTTACCAAATACAACAGAAATTCCATAAATATACCATAATATTTGTGTAACAGTAG